AGTTTGATATTTTTATAGACTTACAGAAATTCATCAGAAAGATCAACATCAAAAAGTACTTTATGGGTCTGTCTAGTACTAGGAATATGACTAATAATGCACCAGTTAGTAATATTCAACATACTCGATTAAGGAATAAATCCTTATTTAACCCTCAGATTAGCAATAATTGTCAAATAGAATCTTTTAAAAAAATGGTAAGCCAAGATTTGGAATCCCTCAAACTCCCTAGGTTTCGGCCTAATATAGACATGCAAAAAGGAATTAAGATGTTAACACAAAGGAATGACATAGTGGTTAGGCCGGCCGATAAGGGAGGGGGTATTGTGGTCATGTCAAAGAATTATTATTTGGAAGAACTGGGTACCCAATTAAGTGATGATAATACCTACGAAGTAATTAAGAAGGATCCTACGATTAAATATAAGAAAGATCTAGAAAAGTTGATTAAAAGAGGATGTAAGAAAGAGTATCTGAATAAAAAAGAAGCCAGATATCTTGTTCCTGAAATGTGCAGAATTCCCATTATCTATACCATCCCGAAAATTCATAAAAATAGTATTTGCCCTCCGGGACGTCCTATAGTTAATGGGATTGGATCTTTAATGGCACGATTAGGGCAATACGTGGATATGTTTCTCCAACCATTGGTGAGATTAACTAGGTCGTATCTGAGAGATACCAAGCACCTAATCCAATTGTTGGAGAATGTAGATGGTAATGATGTGATCTTGGCAACAGCTGACGTCTCATCGTTATATACGATCATTGGTCATACAGAAGGGGTGGAAGCTACGGAATGGGGTTTAAGAAAATATGGAAATCTGAAAAGAGGGCAGAGAAAAATATATTTTGGACTGTTTAGAATTTTGTTTAAAACATAATTACTTTTGGCATATGAACGTGTTTTATAATCAAATTAAGGGTGTAGCCATGGGAGCCCGTTTTGCTCCCAGTGTGTCAAACATGTTCATGGCACATTGGGAAGAGATGGCAGTTTATTTGAGTCCCCCGAAAGAATTAATTTTGTTTAAAAGATATATAGATGATATTATAGTAATATGGAAGGGAAGAGAAGAGGATTTATTATGTTTCTATGAGAATTTAAATAGGAATGATAAAAATATTGTTCTTACATGGGAACATAACCGTGAGCGGATTAGCTTCCTAGATTTAGATATTAACATCATACAAAACAAAATCATCACTAAGACATTCTTTAAGAGTGTTGATAGGAATGGATACATTCCTCGAGACAGTTGCCACTTCCCGCCGTGGTTATTAAACATACCTAAAGGTCAAATGATTAGACTCAGGAGAAATTGTACGATGCAGGAGGACTTTATGAGTCAAGCACAAAATTTAGGCCAGAGGTTTAAAGCCAAAGGTTATCAGCAAGATTCTATTAGTAACACGATCCAGGAAGTTGGGAACACAAATAGAGACGTGTTGTTGGTAGATCGAGAGAAAAATGAGGAACAGAAAGACCAGCTTGTAATATGTTTGGATTTCAATGTCCATTATAAAAAAGTGGAAACTATCTTTAGAAAAAATTGGTCACTATTGAAAGCTGATCCGGCCCTGAAAGAGATAATATCAGATTTCCCCAGCTTTAGATATAGAAAAGCCCCATCATTAAGAGACAAAATTGTTAAAAATGTTCTTGATCCACCCAATAAAAAGAGAATGTCACCTTTTTGGATATAAATGGGTTTTTTCCATGTAGAACCTGTTATGCGTGCAAAGCTACAAAAGGCAAGAATAAGAAATTGATGACTTTTTCTTCATCTGTGAGTAAAAAAGAATTTAAAATTGAAGAATGTATTACTTGTAGGACAGAGGGAGTTGTGTACGCGCTGCAATGTAGTTGCGGAATGCAATATATAGGGAGAACTAAACGACCGCTTTGGGTCAGGCTCCGGGAACATGTACAAAATATAAAGAAGGGGTTCCCGAAGCATAGCGTCTCTAAGCATTTTGCTAAGTGTCACAACAAAGACCCTAGTGAATTAAAATTTTGGGGTATTACTAAATATAAGAGACATTGGCGAGGCAGCCATAAGGTGCGTACTTTGAGCCAATTAGAGTCCAAGTGGATTTATAGTATGCATACTTATTTCCCTAATGGTTTGAATATCGAGTTTGATGTAAATTGTTTTATTTCTGATTTCTGAGGTATTTTTGAGATGGTGCTATGGGTATATATTATATATTTTTTAATTTTGGCTATGTAAACTCATGCTTCCAGATAGAATATATGTGTGTGAGTTTATTCGGAGTTGTCCTTTATGCGCTGGTGAAGGATGTAGTTACTAATTAAAAGTAATATTTTCTGTTTTAAAAATATTAAAATATTCTCATTAATGAAATATTAAAATAATTTTTTAATCAAGGTTTAATTATTTTGATTTATTTTATGATTATTCAATATGTAGGATCATATATATACGTATGCGTCCTTATATGCAGAAGTATATGTATAATTCCGGTTAGTATCATGTATATGTATATAATAATAGATACGGGCTGTATATTGGCATACAGAATTAGAGATCACTAGAGTTTGGCGTATAATTATGTGAGATATGTTTTTTTTATATATATTTTTTATATTTTTAAATAATAAAATAATTTAAATGGGAATGGGTATTAGGTTGTTTTGCTTAATATAACTAATATTGCAGTTTGGTACATTATTATACACTTTTTGGTTTTTTTCCTGTGTAAATGTGCCGACTGCAGAATTAGTATATATATCTTTTTAATGTTTTTTTTTTTTTTGGTGCATCATTATACACTCTTCGTTTCCTGTGTAAATGTGCCCAGTGTAGATATAAGTTTGTGCATCCTTGCATAATAGTCCCCAGTGGTCTTTAGTTTAATGGCCGCAGGAAGTATCGATGCGATTAGGCTGAATAGAACATCGATGTGGGTGGTTCCTTCTATCCTGGCCGGGTATATAAAGAGCGATCGTCACTGTGATTGACAGCCCTGATGAAGTCACGTGTTATTGTGACGTAACGCGTCGGCGTAAGCGCGGTGACGTATTTCCGGCGTGGCGGCCATCTTGGTACACCTGTTATTCAGCTGTACACCCAACAAACACAGATATATCCTCATCTGAGAGCATGAGGGTCTCATGTGGACTGGCTGCTATGTAAGTGGAATTTTTACCAAAAAGTTTTTATGTTCCTATGTTCCTATGGTATAATAAATATACTACACTATGGGAGGATTCCTCTGTTTTGTTCTGAGAGATTGATATTTTACCTATACCTGGAGAAGAGCTTGAGTGGGAATATTAAATCCTGAAAAGCGTTTTTGGAGTGCTGTGGTGCCTGGAGGATCTGTGAGAGGGATCCATTATTGCTCTTTGATCCGCAAGGGTCGAAGTGATGAGGTGAGAGGCTAATCCAGAAGGTGGTTGGATTCACAAGCTCTATCTACACCCAGATACCTGCACGATTTGTTTTCACTTGTGGTCACTTTACAGTATTATTGGAAACACCGTTTACAGTTTTGTTCACCTTCAACATTTTTATATTGGACTTTTTGTTTGCGTTTAATAAGTAACCATTATTTCACTTCACATTTGCACGTGTGATGTAATTATATGTATGTGTATTTTCATGCACATGCACATGCGTATAGATTTAAGTTTGTGTTTTTTTCATCTTTTTGGGTGTTTTATTTGATAATTTTGTTATCAGTAAGCACGTATTATTTATTTCATTATTATTGTCACAATATTAGATTTGTGTCATTGGATTCCACATTCACTTAATAAGTTTGAATGTAGCGCAGCATTTATATGGTTTATATTCACTTGATCACTGGTATATGATTTAATGCTAGCAGCTGTTTGGGGTTCATATATTTAATTTGTTTTAATTGTTTAAAAACACATTATTTGGAGCGAGGAGGGTCTCACCACTATTGCTACCATTCTGTGGATAAACTGTTGGGTGGTGGCAGACTACCTTTTGTGGTGTGTCTGGTGCGGGGGGGGTGTGTGGACAGTGGAAGGGTGATTAACACCGGGGTTCAAGCTGTAGGTAGCTGGAGGGACCTTAGAAGGGTGTGTAATTACTAAGTTGGTCCTCAACTCTAATCAGTGCACCAGATTGTATGTAAGATTTGTATCTGCCAATGTGTGGTCGACCAGCTGGATTGGAGTGGAGTCTCCATCTGGTGGTGGCCAAAGGAAGTGCGGGCTGTGAAAGGGTATCATGGCTGATCTTATATAGGGTTTTATATATTCAAAGTTAAGACCCCTTTATTCCCTCATACCCCCAGTCACGGCCGCACGTGCGCGCCTCGGTTAGCTAGTCGCTGTGGGCATGGCGTGTGGGGGATCCGTGACAACACTCGCCTGCTCTGTGCAATGGTTTTGCACAGAACGGCCTCGAACCTCCTCTTTTGGGTTCCCTCACTAGCAATCATGGCTTCTCCTCTTCTTTGTGTGCCCCCATAACAAGCTGCTTGGTATGGAGACACAGTGTGTGCTCGCTCCCAAGCTATGTGTGTCTATGGAGCCATGGGGTTTGGCCCTGCCACTGATCCCTCCTCACACCCTTTCAATGACAGCGGCAGGAGCCAATGATTCCTGCTGCTGCCCGAGTCCTGTGTGAAAAGGAAGAGAGAGAAGAAGAGAAGCAACCGTGCACAGCGCTGGATATCTTCTCCCTCTCTTTTCCTCTTTACAGAGGAAAGGTGGGAGGACAGAAAGCTATAAAATGTATTTTACCTTAATGCAGGGGATGCAGTAAGGTAAGATACCTGGGCTTTAGAAGAACTGTATACGTGCTGAATATTTATAGGTCATGGAAATTAGAAATATGAATAATATTAATTGTTGTCAGATGGGAGAGTCACTACACTTTATGTCAGTCATCCATTATGAATAGCAATAACGTGCCAGAATTTCTAACCCTTCCTTACAAAACTAAAAAAAAGTCCTGGTAGGATTAAGTAATAACTGATTATTTCCTCTTGTCCAGAGTAAAGGAGTGGAGTACATGAAAAGAATTATCAACTCAGACAGCTCACAAGCAAATCACCTGAAATATGCAGCTGCATACAATCTGGGACTTGCCTGTTTTGAAGGCTGTGGGATTCGTCACTCTGATGAAGAAGCAGAGAGGTAGTAACTCTTCCTGAAATGATCAGATAACAGTCAGGCCACCTGTGTCATGTCTGCTTGCTTTTACTCTAGGTGGTGGCTTCTGTCTGCTGACAATGGGAATCCTAAAGCCAGTGTGAGGGCTCAGAGTACACTAGGAATGTATTATTCACGCCCTCAGAGCATGAATCTGGAAAAGGTGATTTGGTTTGTATCAAACTGTACATGAAATTGACAAGAAAATACATTCTAATTCAATTATGGTTCAAAAGTTATACAGAATGATCTACTAAGAGGGGTCTTCAAACTACAGACCATGGGTAAAATCTGACCTACCACAGGATTGCATCTGGCCTGCAGCTCCCACTGTGCTGTAATCATCCCATCAGTTGGTTGCTAGGACAGCCAGCATCCTTGCAACCGATGGCAAGCTTGCCCCAGCAGGGACAGGTTCCCTCTATTGCACCGTCTCTCTCCAAGTCAGTTGGTTTCTAGATCCTGCTGGACTCTGATGTATGGGGAGCTCTGATAGGGACCCTAATGGAAGGAGGATCTGATATAAGGAGGGACTCCTAAGTGGAGCTCTCATTAGGGATCCTAATATGGTGTATTCTGCCACTGTGGGTGGCTCCAAAGCAGTGCTGCCAGTAAAAAAAAATGCACTTTTCTGCTCTTTGTAAACAGCAGAAAAGTGCCCGCTAATACTACACTTGTCCCCAAGCTTCCTGTCCCCTCCATGCCCCCTCCATATTATTATTATACAGTATTTATAAAGCGCCAATAGTTCGCTCAGCGCTGTACATTACAAAGGGGGACAGAACATGTGACAGAACAATACCAATACAATGCAAAACATGAGGGGATTGAGGGCCCTGCTCTTTCGAGCTTACAATCTAGAAGGGATGGGGCAGTGGTACAGGAGGAGATAGCTGTGGTGGATGGAGTGGTAGGAAGAGTGGAGGAGGTCAGCAAGTTAGCAGGGGATGAGGTAGGCTTCCCTGAAGAGATGGGTTTTCAGGGTGCGCCTAAAGGAGAGGAGAGTAGGTGATAATCTGATGGGTTGGGGCAGGGAGTTCCAGAGGATGGGTGACACCGTGGAGAAGTCCTGGAGGCGGGCATGGGAGGAGGAGACCAGGGAACTAGAGAGAAGGAGGTCTTGTGAGGAGCGGAGTGTGCGTGCTGGGCAGTACTTGGATATTGGCAGAGGGGGGTGGCGGAAATGGAGCGGTTGGAAAGGTGAATGAGTCTGGCAATATGCACCTGAACAGCGGACCACCCCCTGCCTGAACTGAACTCAGCCGATTACTAATCGACTGGGTCTAGAAATGCACAGTTCTGGAGTTGGCTAATTAGTAATAATATATATATATATATATAAATACAACCTTATATTATGTATATATAGTTCTATAGCTTTCTGTGCATTTTTATCTGCTTTTAAATCCTCTGAGCTTGGACACATGTCGTCATCCATTACGCATCTGGGAACCCTCACAGAAAAGAAAAATTACACGGTAATATTTATAAACAGAACTCTGCAGTCCTGTGAGAACCAACCACTCACTATGAAATTACCATAAAATTCTCTATTAATTCGGTCATTTTCTATGCTCCTGCTTCACAATGGAATACAGTGACCAGATGCATGTGACTGCCTCTATGGTCATATTGCTGCTCATTGTTACACTGTTTGCATGTTTTGCCAAGCCTAGCTGGAACTTTTTTTTTTTTTAAATATAATTTATTTTCCAAATTTACTAATTAGGTATAACATTATTTCTGTTCTTTGCCACAGGTCACACCTTTCATCTACATATGAACATAATTGTAAATACAATGTAACAATACAGTGTTGCACTGTATTGTATTAGTCAATGACACTTAAAGACCATCTGCAAGTGTATTTTACACAGTAGTGACTGCACTTTGACAGCAGCTCCATCTATGTTATTTTGTAGCAATTCCTGGCTGTCTTTATAGCAGTAATAGCAGCAATGAGAGGAGAGGGGCTGAACAAAGGAGATCTCCCTAGAAACATTGTTAATGTGTTTTTGAGGGTATCTCCTACATATCAGGTCCTCACATGCTTAATATAACTTCACTCAGGCAACGTTTTGCCAATTAGTGTCCTGAATATCAAAATATTTTACATGTTTTATTTTGATTTCCAGAAGGTGCTTGTATAAAATGTAAAAAACAGTTGTGAACAGTAAAACAGCTTTGCTGAATTCAGCACCGATGGATCCAATTTGTGTCTCTTATTTTATTGTGAGTTTTCTGTTTCAAGAGTTCCACTGCTAAATGACCAGAGAGTGTACCATTTCAGACTGCTAATGAAATTATTATTATTATACAGGATTTATATAGCATCAACAGTTTGCTCAGCGCTTTACAATATAACAGGAGACAATACAGCAACAATACAGTTCAATACAAGAGGGTTAGGAGAGTCCTGCTCCTTGGAGCTTACAATCTAAAAATTAAGACATATTATGCAGGACATGGTTTCTGAACAATGACATTTTCATAAATAAAATAACCAGGTTCTTTCTAATGGTATATGACAGCCAGGACTCGTTACCATAACGTCATCTGGTCTCTTGCAGGCTTTCTTCTGGCATTCAGAAGCTTGTGGCAATGGCAATGTGGAGTCACAGGGAGCTCTTGGTGTGATGTATCTGTATGGACAGGGAATACAAAGAAATTTACAGTTTGCTCTGGAATGTCTGAAGGAAGCAGCTGAGCGTGGAAATGTATATGCACAAGGGCATCTGGTCACATTTTACTATCACAGGAAGATGTACAGAAAGGCGGCTGAGTTAGCTCAAAGGTAACACCAGTCACCAAAGACTTACTGTATTACCTAAATTTGATGTAAACTCTAAACTTACCTTTCAGTATGTTGGAATCATTCCTTTCCATATACAGTTTTCCCTAAGCATATTGCTATTTGTGACTCTGTTGTTTCCTACCAGGAGATCCTTGCAGTAACAGCACCAGTAGGCTGACAACACTATGCCACTGCCTTGCAATTAGCATCAGCGTTGTCACCCTGTTGTACAAGCTTCCAACTGGCTACTGGGCTGCCTATCTGATAGACCAAAGGCCACTTGAAGGATTGCAGATGACAGGCTGACAACTCTGCTGCTACTAGGCAGTGTCTTAAAATGGCCATAGGCAGTTTGAACCTTGGCCAGTTCAGCAGGAACTGGCTGAGATTCAAACCAAGTATGGACAGGCTGAATATACCCAACTTGATCAATCAATCAACTTGGGTACAACGAGCTTGTTGCGTTTTACATGTGATTATTGCTAGCAGGTATAATAGTAATACACCCACCAGCAGTAATCACTGTGTTCTCCGGGGATGGCTCCCCCTGCTGGGAGAACATAATGGCTTCATGGGAGGGATGGATGGGGGAATCAAGCAATTTTCTTTCCTGCTTCTCTCCTTCTCACAACTGGATCTGGGAAATGTGGGACCTTTTAGAAACTCCTCTTACTTGATCCATTCCCTGTAGGCACAGGATCATGTTCTATGCAGAGGATGCAGTAGTGATTGTCTCCAGTCTCAGTTGGGTGCCATGGCAAGTGGACGTTCCATTTTTCCTCACTAATAATTGGTACATTGATCACTTGATATTAGCTGAGGTCCTAGGTACAGAGTAGAATGGAACCTGAATGAATAGTTTCTCCCCTTCTCAGCGAAGGCAATACCCGATATTTCACCTAACCAATGCCAGTCTGGCAATTATACTACTGTGTGACCTAGCTTGAGGTTTATTTGTTCAACTATTTCTACAGTTTTCAGTGTTTCTAAACTTCTGCACTTTGATTGTGCTGTACTTTATATTATGTGTTAAAAAACAAACAAACTGCAGAGTTGCAGCAAAGAGTACCAGAAAAAACGCTACAGTTATAAAAAAGTCAACCAACAAAACAACCCCCACACCACAGGATTGCTTTGCATTGTCAAATTTGCAGCAGTCACAAAGACATCAATTGCTTACAACTGTATAGAGTGAGGAAAAATTCTAAGCATACTGAAAACTAATTGCCATTATTGACCTCCTCCTCCAGAAAATGATAGCTGTCTACCCCTCATGTCTTCAATACTTTTTGAACCTTTTTAGTATTCAGAACTTTCTGAAAAATATCCACAATAGGAAGACTTTCCTTTTACTTATTCTGGGTCAGAGACTCAAAGTATTCAAGACAGAGTGACAACATGACAATTAGTCAACTGGCATTTTCAGAAGGTGGTCAGCCTTTCAAAATTTCTTTCAAGATGGGCTTCCTTCTAAGACTGGCCAGACACTATACAATTTTCTGTTCAATTTCTGCCCAATTTCCTTTAGATTTATGTCCAATTATGTAGTGCAAGGGCCCGCTTAATTGGATACAATTGAAAGTGTTGTTTAGGTTTGACCTCATATTATATGGTTTTTAGTCAATCTAAAGCAATTTTCTTTAGAAAATTGTATAATGTAGGGCCAGCCTAAGGAATGAATTTTCAGTGCCACATCTTTAACCCTTTCTCTGCCAAAGCCACTTTTGCATTTGTGGTACACATAGTCTGGCTGAAAAAAGACAAAAGTCCATCTAGTTCAACCAAAAAAAAAATTATAATCCTATACCCACAGTTGATGGGTACACATTTAAAAAAAATAATTTTAGACCTAAAGCTTACATAACCTTGTCCCCCCAAATATTATATATTTTCTTAAAGCAGATACCCTAGAGAATAAAACAGTGGTCGTTTAAATGTTTTATGACATGCGATATTACCGCAAAGGACTAGGAAATGCAAAATGTCATTAAAAAACACACTAAAGTGAACTTTAGGGAACACAAACACAATAAATTACCCACATTTTTGGTAAAATATAAAAAGACGAGGTTGCACCAAGTAATGGAGGAGATCCTGTGCTACAATTATTGCTCTAACTCCTGGGGGCCTCAACTTTTTTTTTTTTGGGGGGGTGGAGGGATTTTATGTGCTAGGGTGTAACTTTAATTTATATGCAGTTAAAAAACCCTGCATGTGTCCTCAGTGCTCCATTGAATGTAAAGCAATGCGGGGAACATGATACAGGGACCCGGAAGCAACATCATGCACATTGCTTTCCAGGTCACCAACAAGAAGGGAAGGAGAGTGGATGTGTGTCCACTCTCCTCTTTCCACTCTACTTGGCGGCACCCACCATGTTGGTCCTGAGCCCACAGATCATCAAGCAGAGCCTGGAATACACGGTGGGGGTGCCATTACAGGGGGTGTGTGAAAGCAATCGAGCAGCAGAACAGCCACCCGAATGGTTCCACCTGACAGGCAAGAGTCTGCTTGTCAGTTTTACACACGATTCCTTAGCCTACAGCCACTAGGTTGTGTGTAAAATCTCCCCACTGTCAGGTCAATACAATATATGGACAGCAAAAGGATTAAAAAAGTAAACAAAAAAAGTCACCCACATTCATAATGTATACATATAAAGTGATAATGAACTTCTCTTCTTTGTGTCCTTTTACTCTATTAAACATATCTTTGAAAGTGTTCAATAAGCACAAAAAATACTTGATCCTACTAGACATTAAGAGCTGACCTATGAACACCCTGTGTTACCTCAAGATATCTAATTAGCCCTCCCAGTTCTTATTTTAGGATTACAGAGCAATTAGCCTTTTTTTTGTAGAGAATTGGCTAGGGAGAAGATTTGGGTAGTTTAGTAAAACCCAACTAGGCAGCATGGAGTCCAGAAAATTGCTGTGTATTGTTAGCCCACGATAGGAATTAGGAGCAGAGTGCAATTCTGGCAGAACAGGTAATTTTCTGTACTTGCAGGGTGTTTAAAAAGATAAACAAAGTGCTTGTATGTACTGCATATTGTTTTGTTGTTTTTTTTTCTACCATGCCCCGACATAAGCTTTAGAAAATGCTCAGTATGTAAACTACATTAATATGAGTGACCCATCCAGACCTGTGAAGCTTCATAAAGTGTAACATGACAAGATTCGTAGGAAAAGAAGTACAGCATGTTTGACTACTTGCGGATGTCACACTTACTGTGCCCTGTTCTTTTGTAGTATCGCACACTATGACAACATTGACTTGTTGGCAAAGGCTACAGATTGTCTTCCTACATATACTGCCAGAGGAATTGCCATAGCCAACTTCTATCTGGCCAGATGCCTCCATCTTGGTTTAGGCCTAAAATCGGACATGGCAGCTGCTAAAAAATGTTACTCTAAGGTACATTCTTCATAGTTATGTTTTTGAAATAATACTACTTATACACTATATTGCCAAAATTATTGGGACACCCCTCCAAATCAGTGGATTCAGGTGTTCCAATCACCTCCATAGCCACAGGTGTATAAAATCAAGCACCTAGGCATGCAGACTGCTTCTACAAACATTTGTGAAAGAATGGGCCATTCTCAAGAGCGCAGTGATTTTAAGCGTGGTACCGTGATAGGTTGCCACAAGTCCATCCGTGAAATTTCCTTGCTAATAAATATTCTACGGTCAGCTGTTAGTGGTATTATAACAAAGTGGAAGCAACTGAGAACAACAGCAACTCAGCCACCAAGTTGTAGGCCACATAAAATGACAGAGCGGGGTCAGCACTTGCAGTGCACAGTGTGCAGAAGACGCCAACCTTCTGCAGAGTCACTAGCTAAAGTCCTCCAAACTTCATGTGGCCTTCAGATTAGCACAACAGTTTGTAGAGAGCTTCATGGAATGGGTTTCTATGGCCGAGCAGCTGTATACAAGCCTTACACCATCAAGTGCAATGCAAAGCATTGGATGCAGTGGGGTAAAGCACACCACCACTGTACTCTAGAGCAATGGAGATGTGTTCTCTGGAGTGACGAATCATGCTTCTCTGTCTGGCAGTCCGATGGACGTGTCTGGGTTTGGCAGTTGCCAGGAGAACAGTACTTGCCTGACTGCATTGTGCCAAGTATAAACATTGGAGGAGGGGGGATTATGCTGTGGGGTTGTTTTTCAGGGGTTGGGTTGGCCCCTTAGTTCCAGTGAAGGGAACTCTTAAGGCATCAGCATACCAAGACATTTTGGACAATTTTATGCTCCCAACTTTGTGGGGACAATTTGGGGATGGCCCCTTCCTGTTCCAACATGACTGCACACCAGTGCACAAAGCGAGGTCCATAAAGACATGGATGAGCAAGTTTGGGGTGGAAAAACTTGACTGGACTGCACAGAGTCCTGACCTCATCATGATTAAACATCTTTGAAATGAATTGGAGTGGAGACTGTAATGCAGGCCATAGACGGGTCGAAAATCGGCCGATTTTTCGGCCGAAAAATAAAATCGGCCGATTTTCGGATCGTTAGTGGGCGATTTGGTCGGCCGTTTTTCGGTATTTTGGCCATTTTTGTTTTTCGGTAAAGTTGGAAAAAAAATCGGCCGATTTTGCCGATCGGCCGATTTTCGCGGCAATTAGTGGGCAAATCGGCCGATTTTTTACCGATAAAAAATCTGCGCGCATGAGCAGTGACCTGCAAGAGGAAGACAAAAAGAAGAAAAAGAAGAAGAGGAAGACGATGAAGAAGAGGATGAAGAAGAAGAAGAGGATGAAGAAGAAGAGGATGAGGATGATGATGAAGAAGAAGAGGATGAGGATGAAGAAGAGGATGAGGATGATGATGAAGAAGAAGAGGATGAGGATGAAGATGAGGATGAAGAAGAAGAAGAAGAAGAGGATGATGAGGATGATGAAGAAGAAGAGGATGAGGATGATGAAGAAGAAGAGGATGAGGATGATGAAGAAGAAGAGTATGAGGATGAGGAAGAAGAAGAGGATGAGGATGAAGAAGAAGAAGAGAAGAAAGAAGAGGATGAGGAAGAAGAAGAAGAAGAAGAGGATGAGGATGATGAAGATGAAGAAGAAGAGGATGAGGATGAAGAAGAGGATGAGGATGAAGAAGAAGAAGAAGAGGAGGAGGATGATGAAGAAGAAGAGGATGAGGATGAAGAAGAGGATGAGGATGAAGAAGAAGAAGAAGAAGAGGAGGATGAGGATGATGATGAAGAAGAAGAGGATGAGGATGATGATGATGAAGAGGATGAGGATGATGAAGAAGAAGAAGAGTATGAGGATGAGGAAGAAGAAGAGGATGAGGATGAAGATGATGAAGAAGAAGAAGAAGAAGAGGATGAGGATGAAGAAGAAGAAGAAGAAGAAGAGGATGAGGATGAAGAAGAAGAAGAAGAAGAAGAAGAAGAAGAAGTAGGATGAAAATAAGAAGAATTCCAGTCCAGCATAAAGTGTCTCTGCAGAGAGCTCCGCTATTTCTGACAGTTCTCTGACAGTTCCTTGACATTTACAGCGGTTGAAACATTGTATCTATTTGTTTCCGAATAAAAACATCTGTATCCTAAATGGAAACAAATAGATACATTGTTGCAACTTCTATAAATGTCAAGGAACTGTCAGAGAACTGTCAAAGAAATAGCAGAGCTCTCTGCAGGGACACTTTTTGCCGGCTCTAGACGGGTAGAAAATCGGCCGATTTTTTTTACCATTGATGGTAACGTCGGCCACTTGAACAACCGATTTTTCGTTTTTTAAAAGAAAAATCTGCAGTTTTTCTCCCCATCTATGGCCTGCATAAGCCTGACCTTCTCGTCCAACATCAGTGCCTGACCTCAGAAATGTGCTTCTGGAAGAATGGTCAAACATTCCCAAAGACACACTCCTAAACCTTGTGGACAGCCTTCCCAGAAGAGGTGAAGCTATTATAGCTGCAAAGGGTGGGCCAACTAAATGTTGAACCCTATGGACTAAGACTGGGATGCCATTATAGTTCATGTGCGTGTAAAGGCAGGTGTCTAAATACATTTGGCAATATAGTGTATGTTTATGTAACCTTTAGCAAAGGATATACTGTACAGTAGATAAATCGTCCATTCATATAACCAGAATTTATATATAAGGACTCTATTTGTAGGGAATTAACTATATTGTGCAGGTATGACTAACATCTGTTATTTATTTAACTTAAAAAAAATTAAATCAGCTTGCATGTTTATTAGTTCTTATTAATGGGGCCGTGTATGCACCAAAATTAATTTTTCAGTCATACAAAATGTAGTTACTCAAGCAGTTCGAAGCTTGATGTGTAAATTGTAGCAACATCTAGTAACCAATCAGTATTTTAAAATCAGCTTCCATGAGTTATTACCCACAGCTCTGTGCTGAAAGCTGGAGATTTTATATATATATATATATATATATATATATATATATATATATATATATATATATATATTTATCAGCCACATTGTGCAATATATACAGTGGGGCAAAAAAGTACCTTTGAGAGACAAAATTAGAGCCACCAATTGTGCAAGTTCAAATTATGGTGGAAAATAAGTATTTGGTCCCACTTAAAAAGATGAGAGAGACCTGTAATTGTTTGCTTGTTATCATAGGTAGTCACACTCAAACTCCACTATGGTGAAGACCAAAGAGCTGTCGAGGACAAAATTAGAGCACCAAAAAATCTGCAGGCAAATGAACAAACAATTGGGAGCAATAACACTGTTGATTCGGAAAGCTAATCTTAATAATTTTTTGCAAATTATGGTGGAAAATAAAGTATCAAAATTATGGTCACCTACTGGTGAAACAAGAGATGATGATTTCTGCATCACTTCACTGCATAAAACCTGTAGCTGATTGGAGTTCCTTTACATTTCGTTTTAGAGCCTCGAACTAAAGCAGATCATTTCTGCTATATCTGCTGAAATAACTTTTATCTCACTAACAGGAATGATTAAAGAAAGCCTACAACTTGTATTTTGCTATAGGAGACCAGGACAGATGGCACATATATGCTGCAATTCTTGTGGGACGGACTGGACAATGGTTGAATGGAAAAAAGGTTATGCCTTTCGCTGTGCCATGTAGAGCCAACAGATCAAAGTTACTTTTGTACACTGTAAAAGGGCTGTTATCTGTCCATCCAAAATTCCATCGGCAATACAGTTCCTCACACCAATTCCTAAAACAGAATCCTTCTTGGTTGACTTATGAGGGAACCTGAAGCGTGTAGTCACGTGCAAGAGAGCCCTTTCCTCGAATACAAGAGAAAAGCCAAGAGAAGCAAAACCGACACAAACTGAAGACTAGTGAGAATCCAGTATTAAAATGATTCAAAAGCTTTATGGCTATAGACCTATGCATTCTGCCAGTAGTCAATATCACTTGCTGGGAAGACATCTATCTGAATCTGCAGTCATAGGCTAAGTAGAAAACTTGTTTACAGTAGAGTGAATTTCATTGTTATAAACTCAATTCTGTGGATCCTTTTGTTTCCAAAACTGGCAAAAATTTGTTGAACAGTGTAATTAGAAAATGGAAGACATACAAGACCACTGATAATCTCCCTTGATCTGGGGCTCCACGCAAGATCTCACCCCGTGGGGTCAAAATGATCACAAGAACGGTGAGCAAAAATCCCAGGACCACACGGGGGGACCTAGTGAATGACCTGCAGAGAGCTGGGACCAACGTAACAAAGGCTACCATCAGTAACACACTACGCCGCCAGGGACTGACGTGCCAGACGTGTCCCCTTGCTTAAGCCAGTACATGTGTCCAGGCCCGTCTGAAGTTTGCTAGAGAGCATTTGGATGATCCAGAAGAGGATTGGGAGAATGTCGTTGTGCTTGGAGGAGAGAGAATGCTGAGTTGCATCCAAAGAACACCATACCTACTGTGAAGCATGGGGGTGGCAACATCATGCTTTGGGGCTGTTTCTCCGCAAAGGGACCGGGACGACTGATCCATGTACAGGACAGAATGAATGGGGCCATGTATCATGAGATTTTGAGTGCAAACCTCCTTCCATCAGCAAGGGCTTGAGGATGAAACGTGGCTGGGTCTTCCATGACAATGATCCCAAACATACCACCCGGGCAACGAAGGAGTGGCTTCGTAAGAAGCATTTCAAGGTCCTGGAGTGGCCTAGCCAGTCTCCAGATCTCAACCCCATAGAAAACCTTTGGAGGGAGTTGAAAGTCCGTGTTGCCCAGCCACACCCCCAAAACATCACTGCTCTAGAGGAGATCTGCATGGAGGAATGACCTCTGTCATTGCCAACAAAGGATATATAACAAAGTATTGAGATGAACTTTTGATATTGACCAAATACTTATTTTCCACCATAATTTGCAAATAAATTCTTTCCAAATCAGCCAATGTGATTGTCTGGATTTTTTTCTCATTTTGTCTCTTATATTTGAGGTCTACCTATGATGCCAATTACAGGACTCTCTCATCTTTTTAAGTGGGAGAACTTGCACAATTGGTGGCTGACTAAATACTTTTTTGCCCCACTGTATATGGATCGCAATCAGCCAGTTCAGCAGTAACTGGCTAGATTTTGATTCATGAATGTCGATTCCTATTCATGAGAAATCGAATTAAATTGAATCGATCAACTTTTCAACAACGGGCTTATTGAAAAATCTCAGATTAATCAGCGCATGCATCCAGTGGGCTGCAGTGCTGATCAGTGTAATCCAGCAGCAGGAGCATCCCGCTGTCAGAATGCAAAGACATATCAGGGAGGATTTCGCCATCCACCTTGAATGTACATTGGCTTTTTTTTTTTCTCCATTTAGACGTTAATGTAATGTATGGTCAGCGCTACTGATGAAAGTAGGACTACAGCCAAATAAATAAGTTTCATTTTGGATAGCGTAAGGGAAGGTATAACCCCTGTGAGGGTTTTTTTTTTTTATCTGTATATAATTGGAGAGATTTCCCTTCACTTCTTACCACATAGCCACAACAGGAAGCAAGACAAAATCCCTCCACCGTGTGGGAATTCCTGTTAATCAACCGAAGTTAGTATTCCAATTGGAAGATTTCCCCTTTATTTCTACCGTAGTGATAGCACAAAATGTGTGATTAACGACCACCAGGGCAAAAAGAGAGAGAATCTCTCTAAGGGGGCACAGACAACAATAAAAACTTGACAGTTGTTCTAATCCCTCTTTAACCCATCCAAAACTACACTGCTCAAAAAAAATAAATGAACACTTTAAAAACACATCAGATCTCAATGGGGAAAGATCTCCTGCTGGATATCTATACTGATATGGACTGGGTAATGTGCTAGAAACGTAAGGATGCCCCATTGTTTGATGGAAATGAAAATCATCAACCTACAGAGAGCTGAATTCAAAGACACCCCAAAAATCAAAGTGAATAAATGATGCAGCAGGCTAGTCCATTTTTCTGAAAGTTCATTGCAGCAACTCAAAATGGTACACAGTAGTTTGTATGGCCCCCGCATGCTTGTATGCATGCCTGATAACATCGGGGCATGCTCCTAATGAGACGACGGATGGTGTCCTGGGGTATTTACGCTCAGATCTGGACCATTGCATCACTGAGCTCCTGGACAGTCTGAGATGCAACCTGGTGTTGTCGGGTGGACCGAAACATTGTATCCCAGAGGTGTTCTATTGGATTAAGGTCAGGTTAGCGTGGGGGCCATTCAATGGTATCAATTCCTTCATCCTCCAGGAACTGCCTGCATACTCTCGCCATATGAGGCCGGGCATTGTCGTACACCAGGACCCACTACATTAACGTAGGGTCTGACAATGGGTCCAAAGATTTCATACTGATACCTAATGGCAGTTAGGGTGCCATTGTCTAGCCTGTAGAGGTCTGTGCATCCCTCCATGGATATGCCTCCCCAGACCATCACTGACCCACCACCAAAACGGTCATGCTGAACGATGTTACAGGCATCATCCTCCACTGCTTCTCCAGACCCTTTCACGTTTGTAACATGTGCTCAGGGTGCACCTGCTCTCATCTGTGAGAAGAACAAGGCACCAGTGGCAGACCTGCCAATTCTGGTGTTCAGTGGCAAATGCCAATCGAGCTCTATGGTGCCGGGCAGTGAGCACAGGGCCCTTTAGAGGACATCAGACCCTCAGGCCACCCTCATGAAGTCTGTTTCTGATTGCTTGGTCAGAGACATTCACACCAGTGGCCTGCTGGAGATCATTTTGTAGGGCTCTGGCAGTGAGGAGCAGATACCGGTCCTGTTGACGGGTTAAGGACCTTCTATGGCCCTGTTCAGCTCTCCTAGAGTAACTGCCTGTCTCCTGGAATCTCCTCCATGCTCTTGAGACTGTGCTGGGAGACAGGCAAACCTTCTGGCAATGGCACGTACTGATGCGCCATCCTGGAGGAGTTGGACTGCCTGTACAACCTCTGTAGGGTCCAGGTATCGCCTCATGCTACCAGTAGTGACACTGCCCCCAGCCAAATGCAAAATTAGTGAAAACCAGTCAGAAAAGACAAGTAGGGGAAAAAATGTCAGTGGCCTCCACCTGTAAAACCATTCCTGTTTTGGGGGTCGTCTCATTGTTGCCCATCTAGTGCACCTGTTGTTAATTTAATTATTACCAAAGCAGCTGAAACTGATTAACAACCCCCTCTGCTACTTAACTGACCAGATCAATATCCCAGGAGTTTAATTGACTTGATGTTATACTCTGATTAAAAAGCGTTCCTTAAATTTTTTTTTTGAGCAGGGTTAAAAAAAAAAAAAAGTTTTGCTTTTAGTTATACTCTCAGAATACTGGTAGGTTGTATGACGATATATCAGCATTATCCACAATCTCACTTTGGTATGTGTCATTCGGTTTCTAGGCATACCTCCTGGACGCAGATGTGACTGCTGATCTGCAGTACGACGTCATTTCTGGAAAGATCTGAAGCTGCTTCCCGGTCTCACATCACATTGATGTGTCTGTGGTTTTTTCCCCCATTTCCAATCGACTCTTAATAACAAGTCTTCGCACATGGTCTAAAATGTACATTAATCCTATTGTAAAAACTAAACACAAAATATGATTCTGGAGATATTATTCTGTAGCAATCCCTTTTTTTTAAGGCACACAAGAAGAGCCCACCTACACAGACATTTCAGTTTAGTGGCTAGCAGGGGGTTGAATAAGACTTCGTTTTTCTTGGGGACTTCTAGGAGGGAGCACCTTATTTTCCAGCTCTGTGAAGGACTTACAGGTGAAACTTGAAAAATTAGAATATCGTGCAAAAGTTAACTTATTTCAGTAATGCAACTTAAAAGGTGAAACTAATATATGAGATAGACTCATTACATGCAAAGCAAGATAGTTCAAACCTTGATTTGTCATAATTGTGATGATTATGGATTACAGCTCATGAAAACCCCAAATCCACAATCTCAGAAAATTAGAATATGACATGCAATCAATAAAACAAGGATTGTACATAGAACAATATCGGACCTCTGAAAAGTATAAGCATGCATATGTACTCAGTACTTGGTTTGGGCCCCTTTTGTAGCAATTACTGCCTCAATGCGGCGTGGCATGGAAGCTATCAGCCTGTGGCACTGCTGAGGCGTTATGGAAGACCAGGATGCTTCAATAGCGGCCTTCAGCTCTTCTGCATTGTTCAGTCTCATGTCCCTCATCTTTCTCTTGGCAATGCCCCATAGATTCTCTATGGGTTCAGGTCAGGCGAGTTTTCTGGCCAAGCAAGCACAGTAATCCCACGGTCATTGAACCAGGTTTTGGTGCTTTTGGCAGTGTGGGCAGGTGCCAAGTCCTGCTGGAAAATTAAGTCAGCATCCCCATAAAGCTCGTCTGCGGAAGAAAGCATGAAGTGCTCCAAAATCTCCTGGTAGACGGCTGCGTTGACCCTGGACTTAATGAAGCACAGTGGACCAACACCAGCAGATGACATGGCTCCCCAAATCAACACAGACTGTGGAAACTTCACACTGGACTTCAAGCATCTTGCAGTGTGTGCCTCTCCATTCTTCCTCCATACTCTGGGTCCTTGGTTTCCAAATGAGATGCAAAAGTTGCTCTCATCAGAAAGGAGGACTTTGGACCACTGAGCAACAGACCAGGTCTGTTTTTCTTTAGCCCAGGTAAGATGCTTCTGACGTTGTTTGTTGATCAGGAGCGGCTTGACAAGAGGAATACGACATTTGAAGCCCATGTCCAGGATCCGTCTGTGTGTGGTGGCTCTTGATGCACTGACTCCAGCCTCAGTCCACTCCTTGTGAAAGTCCCCAACACTTTTGAATGGCCTTTTCCTGACAATCCTCTCCAGGCTGCGGTCATCCCTGCTGCTTGTGCACCTTTTTCTTCCACACTTTTCCCTTCCACATAACTTTCTATTAATGTGCTTTGATACAGCACTTTGGGAACATCCAACTTCTTTTGCAATTACCTTTTGAGGCTTTCCCTCCTTATGGAGGGTGTCAATGATGGTCAGCAGTCTTTCCCATGATTGTTATTCCTACTGAACCAGCCTGAGAGACCATTTAAAGGCTCAGGAACCCTTTGCAGGTGTTATGGCTTAATTAGCTGATTAGAGTGGGACACTTTGAGCCTAGAATATTGCACCTTTTCACAATATTCTAATTTTCCGAGATTGTGGATTTGGGGTTTTTATGAGCTGTAAGCCATAATCATCACAATTATGACAAATCACAGCTTGAACTATCTTGCTTTGCATGTAATGAGTCTATCTCATATATTAGTTTCACCTTTTAAGTTGCATTACTGAAATAAATGAACTTTTGCACGATATTCAAATTTTTCGCGTTTCACCTGTATGTAAACCATTCCAATTCTTCTGACCATGTTTTCTGTAATAAGAATACATTTGTAAAGGAATCCAATGTAAAGACAGACTTTCCCATCGGGGTGATTTACTGGAACTGGAACATTCAGAATTTGGTGCAGCTGTGCATGGTAGCCGATCAGCTTCTAATATCAGCTTGTTCAGTTAAGCTTTGGCAATAAAACCTGAAAGGTGACTGGTTTCTATGCAGATCGTGCACCAGATTTTGCACTCTCCAGCTTTAGTAAATAACCCCCAAAGTGTCTGCTGCTAGTGTGCAAAAGTAACATGTACAAGTAATATTAGCTTTTAGCCTAAAGATATTCTACAGGCTTAAATATTAAAAAATAAAAATGTCTATACTTACCTGCTATGTGCAGTGGTTTTGCACAGAACAGCCTGGATCCTCCTCTTGTGTCCTCTGCCGATGCTCCTGGCCCTTCTCTCCTATCGGGTGCCTTCACAGCAAGCAGCTTACTATGGGGGAACCCAAGCATGCACACTCCCCAGCCACTGCACTGTGTGTCTATTCACACACAGAGCCATGGCTCGGTCTGCCCCCTCACTTCTCACTGGCCCGCTGGCTGTGATTGACAACAGCGGGAACCAATGGGTCCCGCTGCTGTCTCAGCCAATGAGAATAAGTCCTGGGATAGCCAAGACTTCAGTGCACATCGTTGGATCAAAAAGGGGGCTTAGGTGAGTATCAGGGGGACTGGGGGGATGCTGCACAGAGGAGGTTTTTACCTTCATGCATAAAGGTGAAAAACCTTCAGCCTTTACAACCATTTGCCTACAGGGCACTTTTACCCCCTTCTTGCACAGACCAATTTTCAGCTTTCAGACCAGTCTAAATGACAATTGTGTGGTCATGCAACAGTGTACCCATATGAAATTTGTATAATTTTTTTCACACAAATAGAGCTTTCTTTTGGTGGTATTTAATCACCACTGGGTTTTTTTTTTTTGCATCATAAACAAAAAAAAACAAAACAAAAAAGAGCAAAAATTTAGGGGGGGATAAAAGGTTTTGTTTCTATTATAAAATGTTGCAAAAAGGTAATTTTCTCCTTCACTGATGTGCGTTTAAGAGGCGGCACTGACAGGCAGCACTGAGGTGGCTACTGACTGGCACAGGTTGGCAGCACTGTTGGGCACTTTTGGGGCTGCACTGATTAACAGTGCAGATGTCTGCTTTGACAGTTGCTGGTTACCAGCAGTACTTTCCTCACACTGTCACAGTACTGCCGATAAGCAAGTGTATTTACATAGTGGTCAGCTGATTGGACACAGCTGATCACATGGCAAAAGCCTGCTGTGATTGGCCTTTTACCATGACACAGTGATCACAGACAGCGCTGGGTGTGCGCTGTGGGCACCTTCTGGGAGGACGTCATATGACGCCCTTCCAGAACTGGATGACTGCGCTGTAGCAAAGTGGTTAAAAAGAAGGTAAACTAAACCACTACTCGGCTATTCCAAGAATATTTAGGAGAGAACTCTATACCCTAGCTCGGGGGTGTCAAACTGATGTCCCTCAAGCTGTTGTGAAACTACAAGTCCCATCATGCCTTTGCCTGTGGGAGTCATGCTTGTAATTGTCAGCCTTGCAGTGCATCATGGGACTTGTAGTTCCACAACAGCTGGAGGGCCACCAGTTTGACACCTGTGCCCTAGCTGCACAGATACCTCTTTCAAGACAGCAAAGGCCTGCCTCTCTCAACAGCTTTGTGTGTAGCCTTAAGCTGGCCATACATAGCTCAATATTTGGCTGATTCAGTGGGGACTGGGCAAATTTTGATTCATGTGTCTATCGATCGACTTGTGTACAAGCAGTCTGTCAGATTTTTCCCCAAACAATCAGTGCTGTCAGCTATAGCCAGCAACACTGATCATTTTATTCTGGCGTTGGGAGAAAGTTCCTCACTGTCAGATTACAGTACCACAGCGAGAGTGATACCTGTGGTTGGGGGAATATGATCATTGTTTTTTTTTCTTTTTTTTCATTCAACCTCTGGTTGAACAAAAAAAGATGAACCATGTATGAGCTGTCTTACATTTGCCTCTTTTTACCTGCACTTGCATACTATACAGCGATAGGGCTATGACACACCAATGATTATCTCACTGGCAGCAACAGATTCACTGGAGAGTACAAATAACCCACTTGCTTGTTTCTACGGACATCACTGCCACACTGGGCAAAGCACCACAGAACGTCCTCCAAAAGCGAGGGAATGATGTCATAAAAGCGTGGTTTGTTTGCTCTCTCTAGGACAGGATAGCTAGTGTGTTCAAGGCTTTAGAGTTGAATAGAGCTTGTGGAAGGAAAATCAACTTTTAATTCAAATAAAAATCATTCCAATGTTTACCCACTTTTTAAAAATAAATTTTTTTTAATACTGTCAGAATGCTAGGGGACAGACCCAAGTTTACAGGTTTCAGGATGGTGTTGTACTGGAAGATTGGCTGGACTGTTTGCCAAAAAGAGGCTGTGCATATTGGGGGAATTCAATAAAGCTGCTGTGCAACTTTTCTGGCGTTAATTGCTCTTGATAATGTGTTGTATTTAATTCAAAAAACATCTGCAACAGTTTTTGTTCCGATAGCGGCTTGTGCACCAAATTCAGGCATTTCTAATTTGCTCCAATTCCACATTGAGACGCAACACCTGCACTAAATTCAAAATAAAATACCATCAGTTTGTATCTTACAAAAGTGGAGCTAATTAGAACCAACTTTCTTTTAATGTCCAGAGACAGATTTTGTTAAAGTGTGTGCGTTTCTTTAACCACTTGCCTACCGGGCACTTATACCCCCTTCTTTACCAGGCCAATTTTCAGCTATCGGCGCTGTCGCACTTTAACAATTGCGTGGTCATGCAAGATTGTACCCATATGAAATTTTTATAATTTTTTTCTCACAAATAGAGATTTTGTTTGGTGGTACTTTTTGCACTATAAACAAAAAAAGTGCAAAAAATTTGAAAAAAATTTTCTTTGTTTCTATTATAAAAGTTTTCAAACAGATAATTTTTCTCCTTCACTGATGTGCGTTGATGAGGCAGCACTGATGGGCACTGATAGGCGGCACTG